TCTGGTGAGATCGACCAACGAATCTCTTCTTCATGCACTTTCATACGAAATGAAGGTCCCTCTAACAACTGAATAGCAATTATTTGTGTCTGTTGGAGAGGGAGAGACTGGGAGGGCAGGAAGAGCCACTGACATGAACATCACATACACGCATTTGACAATAGCACAAGTCCAAGCATGCATCAACATTAGAGGATTGTACGCTAGTTTATTTGTGTAAACAAACAGCTCCCACCGCACTCACTTCTGATTCTTGTATTAACTTCACTCGTCTGCAAGCATGTAGAGTAAGATTGAGGTGGCCAACCAAATCATGGTGTATAGAATAGTGACTTGGGTTGCAGCTGATCCATTTTTCTCTTGGTTTAGTGTGGATTCTTGCTCTGATGACGTCTGTCACAGTACAGACGAAAGCTTAGCACATATTCTTTATGGTCACAGGACGGTATTCCTCCTGTCTCCGGTGAGACCACATCACAAATTCCTTCCAACCAACTTGGTCTTCGAAATAGAAATGTATGTCACAATATGTCTATTGTATGTTTGCAATGCTCAGGTCATGTTACCAGACTTATGACTATTCAAGCCTCCTCTTGCTCAGCGCTTCTTTCCCCTCTCCCTCCCTCCCCTCCCTACAGCTATACATAATTCTCACTCAATTTCCTACACTCTTTCCTCCTATTCAGAATGTAGGCCCTTTTTGTTATTTCTCTAGATGTCCTAATCCTAGGTTTGGAAATGTGTCAGTACTTGAGGATCACATGATATTTTATGTATGATATGAAATAACTGCTATGTAGTCTACTTCTTTTTCATGAATTAACCTCATTCATCTGCAAGCATATAGCATATGCATGAAGTTGCCAACTAAATCGCAGAGTTGCGATTTTTGCTAATATAGCAAAAATACGTATAAGAAATGTGTATGTGTGCCGTCAGCCACCTCTTCTCTTGCCTTTCTGTATTGTTGCAGTTTTTATTAAAGTATGCAATCTCGTTCGGAAGATCCCCCTCACATGATGGATGGAAGCTCAGCACGTGTCCAGCAGGGTAGCAGATCGGTGAGCCGAGGACTTCTTTGCACAATCCAACAGACTTCGCCTCACTACAACTCACATTTCCTTGGAAATCAAAAGTGAAGTTAGGCTAAGAGACGGATTTTCACACAGTTCGCTCAAAAACTTTATTCGACCATAAATTTTTCCATTTCTACAAAGAGATGTTATTTTTCCAATCCCTCCTCACGCATCCACGCCTAGTAATTATAATTCATATAGTCTCGGGCAGCCTCGGTTCTCGGAGAGCTTAAATGAAACTTGAAACTTTCTTCGTTAATCTTCTCTCTTGACAGACATACATTGCAAATGTGCATGGAACATCGCTTTTTACGACTTTCTATGTCCTAAAAAGAGTTGCCAGTCATACGCCTATACGTCACGAAATCACAAAATACTCCTCATCCTGCCAAAGTTGTTCCGATCGAATGACTGGGACTTCTTCGCAGAATCGCCTTTGAACTTGGGTTCACAAAAGCATCCAAAACACAGGTCGCTATCTATACATACACACACACGCACACACACCTGACCATGTTCCAGGGGATCACAGGGCAGATGTGAGTTTATAGGCAAAGTTCGCCTCTCTAAGAGCACGTTTATGGTGGGCTTCCCGATAGGGTCAACTTGTATATGTCATTATAGTTAATTACATTGATATATTTATGATACTTATAACCCGAAACTATTAGTATTTAAGGGACCAAAAAGGCTCAAACATTCTTTCCAATGCATCTGAGCCTGCCAAAACATGTCGAAACTGGTACACTTTTACGATACTTAGGCTCTTGAAAGCAACGAAGAAACTGCTACTAATTACAAAATATTCAATCAGATGCTGCTGTCAATAGACAGAATTTGCTATACGATGGTATGGATAGAGAGACAATCTATCCACGATGAAGTGTGTAAGAAGCTCGAGTTTGTAGATACGAAGAGAAACTTGGTTTCGATGAATCTCCTGAGATAACATTGTTAGGGGGACCTTCA